CGGCATATCCCTGACACATCAGGAAAAAAGAAGGAAATAACGGAGGTCCCTTGATGAAAGAAACACTTACAGTTGTCATCAGGAGGACATCAGGCCATCACGCTGTGTAGATTGGGTTGTTGCTGTGAATCATTCTTTTAATATATGTTTAGCGATGGTTTGTTTTATAGATTTTAGCCTGTTTATTCATGTTTTTATAACCTACCATTGTACCAAGCGTATATTGGACACTATTTTAACCCTCATTTAAGTAGATTGCAGTCAAGGGCAGGCTGCAGCGTGTCATCCGCTCTGCAGAGAGGGTGATCGGCTGCAATCTGCTGTCCCTGCAGGACTTGTTCGCTTCCAGGTCTCTGAAGCGAGCTAAAAAGATCGTAGCCGACCCCTCTCACCCCGGACACAAACTGTTTGTGCCCCTTCCATCTGGCAGGAGGCTGAGGTCCATCAGGACTAAGACCTCTCGCCACACGAACAGTTTCTTCCCGTCGTACATGTCTCAAAACAATCTCGTTCCACCGATCTGTGGCAACAGATTTTCATTCAGAAAACATGCATGTCACTCTACCTAAAAAACACTAGCAATGTCCTAAAACAATTACTGTACAACAATTACTGTATTGTAATACGTTTCCAAATGTAGACTATTTTACTGTAATATGTATCATCTTACCTGTTGTTTTGCTGGAAAATTCTCTCTATTGACGTAACTGAGTGGTGCAGATTTGGCTGCAGCCTCAGACCGGCGTCTCTCACAGTGAGACCACGTTCACAACATTTACAGTATTTCTTCAGATATCAGCGCTCTTGGTCTTCCTCTCCTTTGTCCTCCACACACTCTCCCTCACTCTTCTTTCCCCACCGACCGGCCTTCTGTGATCCATATTTCCAAACAAAGTCAGTTCCAAGCTATCGCCTGTTACTGAAACATGGTAATGAGAGTAAAGCAGGACCTGGGTTGGACTTTCTATATCTCAAAATAGTTACTACAGAAATGTTTGAAATTTGTCATCGTTCTGATTTGAATGTGATTTTATCAGTCTTGAAAGCAGTTTGTTAGCATATGAAAAATATCCTGCAAATGTGCAGTTTGTGGAGTGTGAATGACAAAAGTGTTTGTGGATTTTGAAAAGTGTGGTGATTGAATGCATTTTGCATTCTGAAAGCAATGAAATGTTTCATTGATTCACTATTTGGTCCGTATACACTTGTGTGTTGCTGAATGTGTGAAGAGTTTTAAAAATGTGTTTTCTGCTTGTTGCTTGTTAGCAATTGAAAAAAAATGAACTCAATCTTGTGTTTGCGCACGTGACGGCTGTGTTTAACCAATTGGCACCTGGGTTTGGTAATTTGAAAATCAGTGCTTTGGAATTGCAAGGAAGTGACATCTTGATATACTTCTGTGTGTGATGTATAGAAGTGTGTTTAGTATTTTGCAAACTGTGAGGCTGACATTGTGCTCATAGTGGTGCAAATCCGAGTTTGGCTCTTTGAGTGTACGGTTTGGATAATTGTTTAGATTTCCGGGTATATTCAATTGTAAAAAACTAGGATTGTTGAGAATCACCACTTGTCTCTCAAGCTTCAAAATAAAATATTTTCCATTCTAAATTACGACTGCTATCGGGAATAGCAGTCCATCCCAGTCAACTTCGGGGGATAGACAGGGTACATCCTGGACTGGTCGCCAGCCAATCGCAGGACTAACACAGAGACACACAACCATTCACATTCACACACCTTCAGGCAATTTAGAGTCCCCAATCAACCTGATCCCCAGAGCATGTCTCTGGACTGTGGGAGGAAGCCGGAGAACCCACGCAGACACGGGGAGAACATGCAGACAACACACAGAAAGGCCTCTGGACGGAGCCGAACCCAGGACCTTCTTGCTGTGAGGCGACAGTGCGAACCACCACGCCAACGTACCGCCCTCGGGATATGTTTAAGTATATAAATGATCGATACAAGAAAATGAATGAGATCATTGGAGTACAAACATATTCCTAAGATGAAACATAATTTGTTTTACTTCGGTTGGTTTTCACATTGACATGAGGGAGGTCAGGTGTTGTTACTCTTTTGAATGCACAGTAGAGAGCAGCACTGGGTCGCTGTTGGAAAGACACAGAGGGAACTGTTACTGATTTGAATCACTTAAAAAAAGGAAACACACATGAAAATGAGAATAGCAACACTAGATTTCAGTGGAAGTCACGGTTAATTTTTCAACCCTTTCTGATGTGCAGGATGCACCTGCAGGCCTCCTGTCTTTATTTAACCTCATGCAAATGAAGAGGTTAAGTCTCAGTTCTCTGTGATCCTGCGCATGACTGGAAACACTCTGATGTATG